TCTATCTATCTATCTATCTATCTATCTATCTATCTATCTATCTATCTATCTGATTAATATTTATTTTTAATAAATACATGAATAAGCTTTTAGAGGGCTTTTCCCCTTGACTTCTTTAGGAGAGAAAGCTGTAGGATTCAGTATAAAACACATAGGCAGACTTCAAAACACCAAGGAGTTCAAAAAGGAGTAAAACCAGAATTCATCATTTTGCTGCTTGCTGCCTGAAGAAGGGGTGTCAGATATTCGGTTTGGGTTCCCCATACGCTCCGGTTTCCGTGTGGCGTGAAATCCACGCAGCCATTCTGCATGTGGGCCTTCTCATCAGCCATCGTACGTATGTCAGGTCTAAGATCTTTGAAAGAGCTGCCCTTTCATTATTAATGTTATTACGAAGTCTGATGAGTGTGTGCAGCGAAGACTGAACGGTCTGAATGTCATCTCCACAGAAGGGGCGAATTCTCTGACTCCTAAGAGGTGGGGGATGCAACGCAGAGGGATCTGTTGCTGAAGCCTTTCCTTGCCATCGCTGGCCCCTTTCTAAGGAATTCTTATGGGCGAACCTGGAAAAAGTAGCATCTACTCAGAGAGAAAAAAAAGAAACTTATGGAAGGGTGCCTCTCTGGAGAGGCATAGGGGGCGTCCATGCCTGCGGAAGCTCTTTGCGTTTTAAGATTTTCCAGGGGATACTTTAAACTTGATCCCCCTCATTTCCCACCGGGACATCTGTTGAGGACACCGGACAGGGCCTTCTCGGTGGCTGCCCTTCGCCTGCGGCACCTGCCTCCGAAGGGAGGCTCTCCTCTCCCGCGGTCCCTCCGCCGGCAGACAGAAGCCTTTCTACTCCAGACCACGTTGGGCAACTTTCCTCCAGAAAGAGCTTTAACGGAGGATGCACTCCTTTTCACACACGCCCTTGCTTCTAATTTGTCTCTAAATACTTTTAAATAGCTGTCTAGTCAATACTTGCTCTAATATGATAATGGACTCAATTGCTTTTTAATAGGGTAATTTATTCTACTTCCGGCTGGCTTTATCTCCTAAAAAGTTTGCCATGCTTTCAGAGCCTGGCAACATTGCTTCTCTGGATTACAAAGCCCATCATTCCCCAAGCCAGCTGTCCTCTGTCCTCCTCTTCTCCTCCCTCCTCCCTTAAGGGCTCCTCCACCTCTTTGAACACTGCTTCCCCACAGACGCTCGAGCAATCTTAAGTTAACCTAGAGATGAAGAACCTGTAGGTCTCTGGATGTTTGGCGACTACAACTCCCATTGTGCCTGGCCAGCAAGGACCGATAGGAGCAGAAGTCCAAAAAAGAGCTGAACGTTCAGAGTAGAAATTTTAAAAAACATTAAAACAACAACAGCAACAACAAAATTGAATTTTTGATTAATTATTTTCGCCTTCTTGAAACCAATGTGAGCATATGACGAAGAAATAATAACTTATCTTAGACTTGCAGAGCTGGAAGGGACTCTCTGGATGATTGAGTCCAGCCTCCATCAATAGGCACCATGACGAATCGCACCCTCAACTTCTGTCTAAACCACTATCCAGCATCAGACAACTATTTTGCTGTACGCCCAAGCTATGGGGTAAAAATCAGTCTCGCAGACCGACATGTGGTGGGGAAAGACACAAGCAACCCATCCAGGGCTACAACGTCCCTTGTTCATGCCACAAGGAACAATGGACTTGCCCTCAATCAACCATTTGAAGAACAGGGGGAAGAAAACCCAGTCTTGACAAATGAACAAAATCTCCACAGTCTACAGCATATAATTCTCACTGTTTTGTATCATTAATTTTTTTTTGAGCTGCCGCATTTATTGCACAACAATGAACTAAATCAAGATTTGCATCTTTTCCCGTCCATGACCAAGATTCTGGTTGTTCACATAAATTGACACACACGCGCCCCCGAACAGTATTGTTTTTGCACTAGGAGATGAATCCTATCAGGGGTTTTATAGCACTTTGCATAATAAAAGTCCGATAGAAATGATTAAGAAGAATAATAAACTTTTTCCTTTTGTCTTGGGGAAAACCAAAAGGCAGAAAGCCTTTCTTGTTTGTTTTCGTCTCTCTCTGTGTGTGTTTTCGGCACTCCCAACTTTGAACAGGCATGGAGATGCATTGCAGTCAAAGCAAATGCCAACATTAATCTGGTTACCAATATGCTGAAGTTAAATCAAATGCCAACTAATGCTGCTTATTAAGTTTGCAGCTTCCCAAACAAACAATGACAATAACATAGCCAGAGCTAGAATCTAGCCACAGATATTAGCCTGTCATGTCTCTTTCATTGGTAGAAAGATCACCTCGGATCCTGAAAAACAGGCTAATTGAAGTCACAATGGGTTTGATTTAAAAAGAAAAAGGAGAGAAGTTCAAAATCGAAGAAACATCAAGCCCAACTCTCTTGATTTTTCCAACGCTCAAGAAGTTTAACCTCAATTTATTTTCATTCTGAACGTGGTGATTTTTGGTAAATTATTCAAAACAAATTGAACTGAAATGTCACCCCTCCAATTCTAATTTATTTTCTTCGAATCTCAAGTGTCTTTCCTCTCAAATACAAAGAAATGTGGGGATGTGGCTAACTTCTTATAATAAAAAAAGGGAAGCAAACTGAAGTTCTCACCAGTTCCAAAGAAGGATGATTTAGAACATTCTCCTTGACGACGAGATCACGGTGCTGAATTCGGAACCAAGCGTGAACCCGGGAGATCCAATTAAACTGCCTGAAGTCCAAATCCACTCAATTTCTTTCTTCATTTGCAAATGGTTCTGATGGGTTATCTCAACAAGTAGAGGAACCGGCTTGCCGGAGAGACGGGACAGGGCCTTTTCGGGAACGGCACCCTTACGGCTAGAGAAAACTGATTCATTCCATCTCTACCCAGTTATAGATCGCGCCCTTCTGGCTTTAGATGTGTTGAAAAACTGTGTTCTTCGCACCCTTTGGCTTGTTTTAAAGGGAATTTTGTTCCGTTCCGTTTCAACATGTGGGTTATTTCGAAGCTATTTAATTAGAGCTGTTTCCCAATTCTGTAGTTTTAACTTTGGGTTCTTCCATTGACCTGTTCTGAACGTTCCACCCTTCTTCAGCTTCAGCAAATCAGGACGTTTCCGCTTAATTCTAGCACATCATTAACTGT